TAATTTTTACTGCTTGATCAAGGGCATTCTTAAGTAAAACTGGCATTTTGGCCTTTGTCTTGTTTTAACTGTAAGTGTGTGAAAACTTCAATGACTGCTGGGCCAGTTTGGTGCCCCTGGCTTGAACTGAGCTTGGGCACTAGCTGTTTACTCATCGTGGCTTTGGGGCCACCAGGGCAAAGACAACACAGTGAAAAAGGAAAAAATGTCTTAATGTTATTAGGAAAACAGTTTAATTCAGATAAACTGACAAGGGCAAAATTCTAGCAGGTCCTCAGGTTCTTAAAGCAGGTCTTTAGAATTAGGACTAAAAGAATGGTTTGTTAAAAAAATCAAATGAAAAAGGTTAATGTCTTAGATATATCTACTCCAAAAGAAAAGAAAAAAAAAAGACTTGCTGCCATCGGGTCAATTCCAACTCACAGCAACCTCCACAGGGTTTGGGAGGTGGCAAATCTTTACAGAAGTAGATTGCTCCATCTTCCTTCCACAGTGCAGCTGGTGGGTTTGAACCACCAGCCTTCTGGCTAGCAGTCAAATGCCTTACGCACTACGCCACCAGAGCTCCTTATATGTATCTACTACTACATGCATGAAAGATACGTATATAGTACTGGTAGCACAGTAGTTAAGTGCTTGACTGCTAAGCGTAAGGTTGGTGGTTTGAACCCACCTGCCAATGTGCAGAAGAAAGATGTGACAGCCTGCTTCCTTAAAGGCTACAGCCTCGGAAACTTCACGGAGCAGTTTTATTCTGTCTTATAGGGTCATTCTGAGTTGGAATCAAGGGCAAAATTTGCATGACATTTTTAAAATATGGCCAATCTTTAAAACAGGCCTGAAATGCCAGAGTTTCTCCATTCTCCATTCCTAGTCTGATGATGGGAAAACAGCTCATCTACAGGCAATTCTGTCCTCAAGTGTTTTCCTGAAGATGCCGAAGTAATCCGGTCACTTCAAGGAAAGCAGGTATTCTTTCCCCAGGAATTCTTTCTGTGATCAGTCAAGGCAAAAGTAGCTACTTGATAAAAAGGGTTCTTTCTAAATTAATATTTAAATACAAATACTTTTAGGGGGTCATTTGGCTGTCCGGTTAATACCCCACTGGTGTGTAACTATATATACGTTTCATAAGGCACCAAACCGATCAGATTCAAGAAACAGGAAAGCCTGTAGTTTTCACTCACCTGTTGGCAATGTGACCACTTCTCCATTAATGCCATTAGGGTTTGAAGATCCTGAATTATCTTCTTGACAAGCCAAATATTGTTTGGTTTGCTCACAAAGCAAAAAATTGTTCTTTTTATTTCCACTCTCTGGGCTTTTCAGTCTGAAGTTAGGATGATTACGATATCCTCCAGGACTTCTCAGAGAATCATGGAATATAAGCTTGTTTTCGTTTTTCTCAAAATTATTCGGCTCTGCCATTTTACAAATAGATGCTTCTGAATTATTTCTTGACATCATATTAACTGGTATTTTAACATTCACGGAAGTCTAAGGAGAGAAATGCATTTTAAAGGCAATTTATAATTACAGAAATAAAAGAATTACAGGTGATTTCTTTCAAATACTTCTGTAACAGGTAATTCCCATCAACTATTCCAAAGAAGATATTCCATGACAGCAAAACCTGGCCTACAAGACGCACACACACAC